TACCACCCATGGCTGAAATGGCAGCCACAATGTCTTCCTCCATTTCCTTAAGGTTTTTCCAAGTGCTCCTACTCTTCTCCATCAGCTCTTGGAGAAGGGCACTCTCATACACTCCTGGTAGTATAAATTACTACTATCTTTCTGGAGTCAACTTGGCAGCAAATATCAGAGCTTTAAAAATGCCAGTACCTTCAGATCCAAAAAAAAAAAAAAAAAATCACTTCTAGGAATTATGTGAAAGAAATAATTTAGGATGTGTTCAGTAGTTTCACAAACAAACATTCACCACTACAGCACTATCGAGGACTGAGAGGTGAGAAGCCTCTGGACTTGGAAGAGTTTTTTTTTCTCTCTTAAGAATAGCTTCAGCAATGACAGAGGCAACATACAGATTGCACTAGATCAAGAAAGGCAAATACTTCCAATTATCCCTTCCTTATCCACAGCAGACAAGGATTACCATATTTTAATCTAAAACCAGAAACTTACACAGTGTTATATATCAATTATATCCATAAAGCTGGAAAAAAAATGTTTCCCAATAAATCCTGTAAATATAGTAAGGAGAACTTTTCAACGGTATCCAAAAAAAATGTGAAATTATAAAGATACATATTTTTACTTCCTTCTATTATTTGGATCCAAGCTATATATCCGTAAGATTCCTTCTAAGACTATCCAAAACAAATTATCCTATCCTACTGTTGTAGCATCCCTAACCAAGCATTATTCTTTAAATCAGCTTTCTGTGTAACACTGACACTGAATAACACTTAAGTATAAAAGCAAGTCAAGCCAATTTAATAATAACAAATAAATAAAACAAAACCAGGAGTGGCCTCAGAATCTTTCACCACATAGGGATAAAGAGCCAAACACCTTCTATTAGCCCCAGTTGAAACATTTACCATCTGGGAACTAAATCCTAAGGGAAGAGATTATGTTTCACACAAATTTGTTTTTTTGGGGTCTAGCACAGCATTGTCCAATAAAAATATACTTAGAGTCACATATGTAATTTCTAATTTTCTAGTATCTACATTAACAAACCAAAAAGACAGGTGAAACCATTTCCACATGTAATCAAAATAAAAATAATGACTGTTTTTCTTAAATCTTTTTTCATACCAAGTCTTAAAATCCAGTGGTATTATATTTATAGCACATCTCGATCCAAATATTAATCTTCATTGGGAATATTTGATCTACATTTATATTTCATAAAATTTACAGATCTACATATCCAAGTTGTTCTAAACATACTTAAAAATCATTCGACTACCAACTTTGAGTATCAGTTTTTAATTTTTAATTAAAATTTTAAATTCAGTTCCTCAGTTATCACTAACCACATTTCAACAGTTCAACTGTAACTAGTCAATAATTTATTGGACAGGACTAACATTTTGTCAATAATTTACGCACTGAATGAATATAAATGATGATGGAAGAGAACAGGTCAAGAGAAAGCAGTGTTCCATGATAGTGCAATTACATAATTTTATTCTTATTACACTATAATCTATACAATTCTCATTTCTTTGATGGAAAGGAAGTTTCTATTGGTCACTACTGGTATTCTAATGGTTTTTGTAGACCATGCCAAAAAAAAAAAAAGGATAACCATTTAAATAATTGAGAAGGTGTATCTTTTCAGATGGCAAAAAGGTGGAAACCAGTTAATACCTACAAGAGAAAATCTGGAGTCAAAAGGATTTCCAACAAGTCAAAATACAGTAGCAAAATGAAATAATATAGATGTTAGTTTGGTCTAGCAAAAGCACTGGCTTTAAAAGAAAATGCTTTACATGGATGCCATTAAAAATATTTTCCAATCCAGAAAATTTTGATTATTCTTTGTTTTGTTCAGAACCTTAACAACAGTTGTCCACAATTTTGGGAAATCACAACACTGATGGCAACACAGCATTAGCCATTAATATATACATCCATCCATACTGGCAGCAGATATGCTTTCTAAATTATACAATGATTCTATTTACAGAAAGATGCAAACATCTGATCTTATGATTTAAGATATAGTTGTGCCTGATCATTTACACTGAAATATATTATAGTTTCCTTTTATTTCTCCTTTACATTAGTGGGGACAGTACATATATATTTTTAATTGTGGTACAGGTAGGTTATAAATGAATTCATCTGAACATAGCAAGTTAGAGTCATTACAAAGTATTTGTTAAAATCCAACATCTCAATCAACATCTTACAAATTATTGGCTTCATAAAAGCAAGAAGTATGAATGGCAGGTTTACAAATGTTCCTGAATTGTTTTGGCTTTGGTGGCTTTTATTGTTTGTTTTTCTAACAAAACCAGCAATAAAACCTTTTAAAAACCCTGTTTTATTGAAGTGTAAGATATATAGGATAAAGAGCACAAATCTTGTTTACAGCTCATTTTTTACATATCTATACTGCTACATAATGAACACTCAAGGTAAAGATACGGAATATTCATAGCACTTAAAAAACTCCCTTGCGCGCCCTTACCAGCCTATAAGCTGTCAAAAGTAACCATTATTCTGAGTTCTTCAACACATTCGTTCCTGACTACAGAATCTTACAGCTTAACATTTCAATTACGAGACTACAATGTTTTATATACCAGTTGTATTTTCAATGTCTACTTTCTCATCTTTATTTTGTGCACATGTATTCACATCTTGTTAGACATTTTTATTAGATCTAATTTTTACTATACCACTTTAGTATAAATAAAGAATAAATGGATTCAGTTTTACTTTCCATTATATTGACTAATTACATTGCCATTCTCAGTGATTGCTGTGTATGGCATACCTTTTTGCTTGAATATGTCACCTTCCCTAGAGAGGAACAACAGATAAAAATATTCAGCTTATGACCCACAAATCTGACCTACAATGTTCCTGGTTCATAAAAACAAGCAACCTCAGTACCAAGGAAGTAACATCTTATAACATATCTCAAATTTCTACACCACGCATATAAATACATGCAGTAATTAAGAACTGCATACTTATCTACTATGGCGGAAAAGCAAATACATGTCAATACAATGGAATGTCTTACTGCTACTAACAATAAAAAGCGAAAATATGAAGAAAAGCCAGGTAAAATAGTAACTTTAAAGTTTTAGATGATAAGCAAAATAAGCAACAATGTAAAATATTTAAATAGATTTGATTTAGTTGGGAATTCTGCATGAAATAGATTCAATAATGACAAATTTCTTCTAAATTTGGCCAGTTCCATTAAATTTCACTTATTTCTGAGTATTTGCCTCCATCAGGTTGTTACACATAAATAATCATTTAAAATAAAAAGATAACTGCCTCATGAGCATATTAACTGAAGGTAGATTTTGAATAATATCACCATGTGAGACTCCATTTCTATTGCCAAGTTAGGTAACAACAGAAAGTGAGACTAGGCTAAACCAAAGATTTTGGATTTAAACACATGATAATTTCTCTGAGGCCTTCCTTTATAAATCCGTGCACAGTCTCAACACTGGAACTCTCCACTTTCATTTTTATTACTTTAACAGAACAAGACAAGTAAAGATTGAATGCTCAAGAGAATACAAAAATGAGTAAGAGGTAGCACCCATAGTCAAGGAAAAGGAAAAGAAAAATTCTGCCAAATTATATTTGGTCATATACAAAACAGCCAAACTTCCTAGGTCATGATTCAAGCGCAGCAAATACTTCTCATACCCCTCAGGTGGTATCCTGATTCTAACTCTTTAGATATCTGATGTGAAATAACGCAGGTACTATGAAAAGTTTCTTCCTGATTTCGAAACTTTAATTACAAGACATAAGATTCAATATTAAATGAATTTCCAGTATTTAAAGCTAAATGAGAGGAAGGGATCACATGACAGAGCTAAGGTCAAATTAAACTTTGTACCTCTTCTGCGACCTCAAACACATAAACACACCGAGATAATATTTAGACTCTGTGTTAGGCAGCATGAAATTACTTCAAAGACTTTCACTTTATCCTCAAAAGGGTCACCGAATAGTTTGAAAGGCTTCACTATCTCAAAACTTAGTTACAATTCTTTAACTGACTTGCTATAAAAGAAAAGCGCAGTCACCTCAGAAAGCTGTTAGCATTGATAAGATTCCATTTCTTCCTCTAAGGAGGGTAGAGGCAAGTTCCCAAACAGCCAATTTAGGAGATATTTTAAAACGCTGTGCTATGTAATCAATATTTTAAAAGTATGTAATTTTATAGTAAGGTGACACTTATCCAAGTGGAAACAGTCGAACCAAAATAATCCCTAATTTTATTCATGAGGGTAACTAAAAAAAAATACTAATTGCCAATAACCTGAAGAAAGCTTCGTAGCAATTAAGGACCCCCTCACAGCATGGGGCAATACTAAACTACTGGAGCAACAGCTCCACCTACTGATCAACAATACTTCCTTAAACATTTTGGCACCCCAAGT